CATGGTCTCGTGGCCGATTATGTTCTCTCGCCACGACCGAGGGTTAATTTGCCGAAGCGGGGCTCTCATCTGTTTCACGAGAACAGCACAACTGGAAATGTGCAAACAGTAGCACAAAGGCCGTCTGCTGTACGTCTCTCTGCCTTCCATGAAGCAGCTCTCCTCTGTGCAAGAATCATTATTTAATCGTTCTCAGGAGTAAAATTTGCAGGATGGTACCGCACTGGGATGCATGTAAAATTCAATGTCACGTGTTTTATTTGCTTGTGGTGGTCTTTAACGTGTCGGAGGTGGAGTTCATAAAATTACAATAATCCCCGTCCTCCAACCAAAAAAAATGAACTCATCCATATTCACATTCATGTGCATCACAGAGGCACTGACGGTGCTAAATAATAGTGGGCCGTGCCACCAACTGCTTAGGGAGTTTGTGCAAACAACGATTCATTATTATTAAATATAACAAGCCTGTCGACGTTTCCCAAGCGTCACATGACGAGGCGCTGCTAGTGTTTGTCCGCTTTGGAATGTTCCATCGAGCATCCGTCTTAGAGGGGAGGGCGGCGGCCACGCACAACGCGACGTTCCCCACAAAGGGTTAAATGGTCACTGCAGTTAGAAGTTCCACGTGACAGCAGCAACTGCTCAAAGTACTGTAGTGATGCCTTCGTATGTCGTACCGCTCACGCAAACCCCCCTACAGCACAAAGTGAGTTTTCTAATTACGGATAATTAGAGTTTGGGGGTGGGGGTGGGGGCAGAAGGCAGATTTATAAATTGTACAGATTTGCCCACAAAATCGATGCTTATTCGTTTAAGCTGATTACACGGCATTAAGTGTCAGCGATTCTGCAAAGCCCAGCGGACGAATCAACAATTCGTCTTTTGCGTGACCCGTCCATTGTTGCACTCAACGTGTGCGCGCATTTGTGTTCCGTCCGAGGAGGTTGAACGCGTTAACAAGCTGCGGGCACGTGGTTAACTTTGAAAGTTACTTCAGCTCGTTTTGTACTTTTGTCAAAAATGTTGTTTGCGCGCAGCGACTGAAACGTGGCACAATAACTTTGTGTCTCTCTCAAGCTGCGAATTAAAGTGTAACCTTAATAAACAACAACAACAAAAAACCCCCGATACAAAATATGCTTCACTTCAATATCATCGTAGCTGGTCTCGTGGTGTTAAAATGTTTTTGGCTGTAGCTATTCGTACGCGGTGCGTTGTGTCATTAAGGGTTCTTGGTCACCTGGGATTCGAAGTTACAGACAGCACGGGGGGGGGGGGGGAAGAGACTTTTGGACGCAAAGAGTAGTCGTCTCCCCTTGGTGAGGAACGCAATGTTGGAATAAACATAAAACATGTCGAACTTCGTTTACCAGGACTCGCTAAAGAGTCCAACAGTTGTTTTTTTCGGACCGATTCGTGAAGAAAACGGGCCACGGAACACGTAACCTACCGTACCTGAAAAACAATGCACTTGCATGTTACTCCAACAAACATTTACCAAAACGACTGAACATCGTGTTGTTTGGTAGGGGAAGCCCGCGAGACACAACTGACGCCAATTTTTCCAAAAGCCACGCAAATTCGCTCACGCCTCGAAAGAGCCCACGGGGCGAAATACCCCCACCACCCCCCCCTCAAAGATAATAACAATCAACAACCAAACAAGCGAAGGGAATAACAACCCCAAAGTTTCATTTTGCTACATCGGAAGTGGCACAAGCTGCAGAAGCCAAAAAACCACAAACAGCCCAACATTTTCCACAACCAGAGGGCCGAGCTGATACGAGGAGCCGTGCCAGGCCGGGCCCAAACGCGTGCCCAGACTTCCATCTCGCGATTCACCACTCGTCACACCCTTGACCCCCCCCCCTCCTCCGTCCCTTCAGCCTCAATGTGGCCACGTGTTCTAAGCCAAGAGGGGGGGCAACTTGTAGAAGGAGCGCTCACCCGGCACCGATCGTGGACACTTTGTTCAACGCCCCTCTTATTCCACTGGCACATCCGAGCCGAGCTAGGGCAGGCGTCCTCACAGCATGGGGTCTTTTTCTCTTCCCCCCCCCCCGCCCCCAGCTGGTTATCGACCATGCGCTGAGCCGTGTGATCAAATCGTCGTGATACGCAGACCTCAAAAACGGCATCAGATCTGGCTCAGGGGGGCCAAGCAGGGACACGTTGCTCAATGCGCTGTGTGGGACTTCGGAACGACTGCGTCATCTACGTGCGTCTCAACACGCCGCACGCGACATCAGTTGGCACGGTTCTGCTTCTGCAGTGTGGAAATAGAAACAAAATCAACCCGTGCCCGGGGACGTGGCTTGGATGCGCCGGTGGGAAAGGCATTTACACGAATGGCTCCACGAGTTCACTTTTTAGAATCGTGGGGGACGTAGCGGCACGGACAAGGACCGCGTACGGTTCGGATTTGGCGCCGCGGAGGAAAACGGGGGGGGGGGGGGGCCGCAAGAGCCAAGAACGCGTCGACGGAGGCACATTGGTACGCCTCCAAGCCCTCCCGCGACGACCACACATCGAGGGGTTGCCACCTCTCCTGGTTTTCCCAAGATGGTAATTTTTGTTTGTTTGCTTAAGATAAACGTGCAAGTCCTTCCTGTGCATTGCAAGTCCCGCTACCTCGTCCATTTAACGAATGCCACACCGATGAGGTGCTCCCCGTCTTCCGTAAATGTGAGACATTATTATTCTTCCCACGACGTCCCGTTTTTGTTTAGTTTTTTGTTGTTGCTTTCGCACCGCAAAAGGTGGCAACCCCACTAAAATCGCATCTCGCGCGCTGCGCAAAGAGTAGGATGACAACGACGATGCTCGAGGTTGCCCTCTCTTCGCAGCGTGGGTTAGTGCCCATATATCCTAAATGCCCAAGGGTGAGAAAAAAAAAAGGGGGGGGGGGCACAGGCACAGCGAGAAGAGCCGGTACAGCCCAGGCCAGGGAGACCAACAACAACAACAAACATCATGGGGACCCAACCCTCTGACCGGGTCCTGGTGTGCGCGTGCGACAATTTTTCCCCGACGGAGCCATCAGAAAACTTGTGTTGCTGCGTTAGGTTCTGGGGTTCACGGTTCTGTCCAGGGATTTATTTCTCACAAGTTTTTATAGTTTATGTCCAGGTCACCGTTAGACCGGCGAAGGCGACGCATCACGAAAGCAACCGCAGCCCACAGCGCGAGGCATGGTGGATGTGGTGTGCCGGGAATTCGGTTCCATTTCCCACATCGCCGACACAGGCAGACGCAGCTGAAATGAATGCCTGGTTCTGGTCCCACTATCCATTAAATGTGCAGTGCCAACTTCAACAGGTGCTCGCAAACAAACAGCGCCCGCCCCTCTCGCAGTCCACAGACTAAATATGGATGTTTGTGTTCGTCAGTCTTTTTAGCCAGTATCGCGAATGCCTCGCTTCGGGGCAGAGGTTGCGGTGGCTTTAGTTTACAATCATGCCGGCCACGCCGCCTCTGTGGATTTCGATTCAACGGCACCGATAACGCCAGTTAATTGCGTGGGGCGATACGATCACCTCATCACGCCGATGCTGCGATGCAACTGGACCAAACCCAACCTTCTCATGCACGATGAAAATCGTGTTTTGTTTAGGAGTCGAAAACGAACCCTCCCACGGTCCCTTCCACAGGCAGTCCGGCCAAGATTCCTGCCTGGAAGGGCTGCACCTCATCGGGGTCGGTCACTCGGCCTCGAGCGGGCGGGGTTGGGTAGAAGGAATGAACACATGGAGATGAGACATTTGTTTGCTATGCTTGGCCAACAACACTACACAGATGGGTTTACTTTTTTTTTTTGAACCCGAAACACGGATTTAGTGTCCTTATCCCCGCCGCGCTCAGATTAAACGGCGTTAGGGGCGAGCGCCGCTCATCATCTTGTTAAATGGAACGTCCTTAATCTGGCCAGATGTCTCCTCATCCTCTATCGCGTCGTCGCTCGGCGCACGGTGGGGGTGGTGGCCGCGGCTGCTGCTGCTGCTGCTGCTGCTGAGAGACAGCGCATCTGCCCTCGCGTTCGGCGTACGTATGTCTACGTACGTCGATCTTCTTTCGCACCGTACGTGGCCGACTGCGCCGTCATGTACGCACGACGTCGAGCAGCGACGCGATGAACGCGGTTGCGCGTGCGTGCGTGTCGGTACGCCCGTCTTCTTGATCCACCGCATACGTTACCGCGTTTTGGGTCGGCGTTCGAAGCGTGCGTTTAATGCAAGCCTGCGCGGACTCGTCTTACGTGGTGCATGCACGTTCATCAGTATATCTGTACGGGTTTTTGTACGTTTGTGCACACGTTGGTGTTTATACGTCCACGGACGTCACGTGTCCTTGGGTGCGAGGGTGCGAGTGTGCACGTGTGACGAGTGGCGTCGACGTTGTCGGCCCACTGCAATACGATCCTGGCAACCTGCGCAGACGGCCGACCACCTGTAAACGTTCATGGCGCGCGTTCTAGATTTTAAAATGTTCTGGGCCTCCCCAAGGTAGGGCAGCTCAGCCAAAGATCAGTACCTGCAGCAGTGTGTTAACATCGGCACTGGGGGTACACCCACCCCCGCTCGTGAGCTTCCGTGGTCGGCGCTCACGTTAAGGGTGACCGAGGGATACGTGCGTCGGTATGTGTCCAGTACGTGTGTGTGTGGCGCTTCGCATCTGTGTGTACTTTCAAGTGAACAACAGTTTGTCAAATGTATTTGTGTGCGCGTGTGTGTGTGATGTCTTTGGATGTGTACACACACACACGCACGTGTTTATGTGCACGTGTGTGTGTATTTAAATTATGCACGCACTTATGAATGTTTACATGTAATGTGTTTATTGTGTGCACGAACGCTTTTGTTTCGGCCGCCCACAATATTGGCGTTGAACGCCGGCCAAAGTCGGCCGACCGCTGTGTTCACAACCCGCCGGGGAGGCCCCCCCCCCCCCACCCGCCCACAGCCCCCCCCCCCCCCGCCCACAGCCCCCCCCCCCACCCGCCCACAGCCCCCCACGCAGCGCGAGTGGCACAACGCGATGCCAGCAGCCTGGGCCCTGGGCCAGCACGGTCAACGAATCGGACAGCGCGGACCCCGTCAAAATCAGAGCCACGCACCCTGCAAGCGCGCGCACGCACACGGCATTTAATTTAATTTGTTCGGTCCTTTCTCAATCCATTTCTGGAGGAAGGACCCCCCCCCCGCCTCGACCTACCCCCCCCACGCCGCATTGCACGTGGGGGGGGGGGGGGGGTAGGTGGGGGCGGTGCGAGTTGGCCAAACGAGGCGAAGCTCGGGGGCCGGTTTCGGATCGCATCTCCGCACCACCGATATTGGCCGTGGCAGCGAATCGAACTCCGTGCGGCACGGACGGCGTGCCGACCGCCACGTGGGCCTCGGGGTGGGGTGGGGGGGAAATATATATATATAAATCGACCCGACGAAGAACACGAAACAAAAATAGTGCAAGCGACGTGGCCCCCATTTCTCATCGACTGGTAAACGTCCCATACGGCAGCGACGGACAACGACGCCGGGTCGGGGAAACGAGCCGTCGGCGCGGCCCGAGTCAGCGCGGCACGGGGCTGAGCGCCGGGCGGAAGGGGTTCTTGAGAAGGCGGTGGTGGCGGAAGTCGTAAACGGCCCGGCTCAGGAACACGAGCTCGGGGTCGGTGTCCGGGGGCACGCGGCGGTGGAGGGGCGCCGAGCAGCCCGCCGGGTGCGGCGGAACGGTCGGCGGCGGCGTCGGCAGGAGGAGACCACCGGTGCCGGAGGCCTCCGTTGTCGGAGCGCCGGTGGCGAGGCCCTCGCGACGACGCTCGATGTCCGCCCAGAATCTGGACAACCGGACGGGGAGGGAATGGACGTCAACGGCGTTCTGTGCCGGGGCCGGACCCCGCGGCTAACGAGCCGTCCAAACGAGACCCACCCCACGCCCTCCACCACCACACATGCAGCCCGCTTGGCTGTCCCGCACTCACCGGGGTAGTGAAGTATGGTCAAAACAACCCCGATGACTGACGGCGGCATAACAGGGCCTCCATCCGGTGGGGTGGGTTTAAAAAGTTGTGAAATATTTGAATGATTTTAATTTAAGCATGTGTATGAGCGGTGCATGACCTTAAGCACAATTCCCAACAAAGGCCTAATTATGCAACTTCCAAAACATTGTTTCATTCAGTAAAGGACGATAAAAAGCTAAACTTTAAAAACCACTAGAAATCACTGGAGAAAAGCAGGCACAAAATAGTAAAAGTTAAAAAAATAAGATATCAAGCAAAAATACAGAAAATAAACCTAGGGGGGAAAAAACAATTCTATTTGGATTTAGAAGCAAAGTCGGAAATGCTCGTGGGATATCCAGTAGGCTGAAGACCTTCACAAATAAATACATGCTCAGCTTCGCTTTGAAGGTGACAGAGATGCACGTTCCAATGGGGTTTCACTTGAGCCAACGTTTAAACCTACAATAGATAAACATATTCCCCACAGATGTTCCAATCAGAGAGAGTGGCGCGGCACTCATGAGCCAGCAGTGGAAATTCCACATGCCAATGGCGAGGGACAGTTTCTCGATAGGAGCAAAAACTGCCGACTTCCAACAACACAGCAGAGAGAGCTGTACAACTCTCCCGTGTGTTGTTGTACGTTCTACCGCGTGTGGCGCGATGCCCGACATTCCGCTCCCAGCTGGCTAAAGTTGGCACGTGCAGCGAAATGTCGGACGTCACACGCCAGACAACAAGCGGCACACGCCCTGGAAAACACATGGCAGAGCTGTAAGAACCCCACCACGATCACGGAGACACGGACCGGGAATCTAACTTCCGATTGCGAAGTCGGGCATCCCGTTGCCGTGCCATCTTGCCGGGACACGAGATGAACGTGCATACGGCCCATCAAATAAATAGAAGCACCTTTAGCCCGGCGTGCGAGTTGGAACATTCTCCCGGAGGCCTGCTCTTCAGACGTTACAGATGAGTTTCCCCTCGTACTCCAGTTTTTAACGATGAACATAAATTCGCTACAAGTGGCCAAAAAACCCACGCGGTGTTTGAGCGGGGCAGGAGGAATCGGGGTAGTGGGGTGGTGGGGAGGTGGTGGGCCCTTTCCCTTACTCCCGAAAGTGTGCGGGACTCGGCGCAGTCGGTCTTTTTGTTACGTAAACAAAAAATGATTACATCCCAGAAAAATGTGCTGCGTCGTTTACGCGTTGGTCGGCGAAGCCAAAGGGAATCGTTTCAAGAGCTTGCTTTAGAAAAGCACTTTTGATGAAGTACGACTACAAAACAAAGGCTTTTTGCCAAATGAATTTATGACGAGATTTTTTTTTTAACATCCCGCTCGGCACGTGCCACGAGAAGTCCACCTCGGTTTTACGATCCATGAAAACACCGCGCGCAGGTGCCTGCTGCCGTCGGTCTCGCAGAGGGACTTTTAATTTGTTTCTTTTTATTTGGAATGTTTAGATGGGACTAGAATTATAAAAATACTTTTTTAAAATATATATTTAACATTTTCACCCAAAAACACACAAACCCTCAATTTAAAACTTTTACCGGTACACAATTCTTAAACGGTTAGATTAGTCATAAAATCACGAAGCGAAGAGACAGCCCTTTTGTCAATCCACTAATGGATAATTGCCTCCCCCATGGTGTGCAGATCATGGGGGGTGGTGGTGGTGGAGCGGGGTTATCTGATCATGCTTCACCACGCTGGTCAGTGTGGGTTGTGAAGGCCGAGAGTAATGTACAACAATGGTGTTTTCTGCGCTACCCCCTACTGACAACTTCGCCCCCGCTGCAGCCTACAGTGCCTGTGGAACTGCATGGCAGTCACCCAATCTAAGCGCTATCCAGGCTCAAAACCTGCTTGGCTTCCGAATTGATTTAACGGCCTTAAGTTAAAGCGGTTGCAATTCACGCGCTACCAGGAGTGTGCGGCGCTACCCCTTGTCACTTGGCGAACCTGAGAAAAAGAGTCGCAGTTTCACATTCCTATGGCAGGGGCTGATCTATCCAGGGGGGGAGGGGGTCAGTACTGTTCGCCCAGGAACAGAAGTTGCAACTGGGTACCCGTACCCTACCCAATACCCGGCTACCCATACCCGGCCGGGTACGGGTACGGGTACCCGTTTGCGACCCTGGTGCGGCCGGGTACGGGTAAGGAATCAAAACCCGTTTGCGACCTCTGCCCAGGAAGGATGATGGGCAGTCGGGATTTGAACTCGCGACCTTCCGATAGCGAAAAAAAATGGCCCTCAACCCCAGCACCACAACAACAATGCGTAACGTTCAATTTCATTTGACACTTTTTTTTCATCCCAAAATAAAATTCAGGACGGTGTCGCTTAATTAACACGGAGAGAAATTAAATACATCGGCAAAATAACAATGATGAATTAAAGTACCAAATGGCACACCTGCTTGTGCAACAACAACAAAACAGCCCATTGATTTAATTTTCACAATGAGGATGATGCGAGATGAAGCACAGGATGAAGCACTAGGTGTGCAGGATATTAAGGAAGTTGTTGCAGGTGCACCGCTTAATTAAAACGAATTTAAGTCATTAAATATTACTCCCTTAATTAAATATAACTCCAATTGCGTTCACGAACTTCACGTCCTTCGAGAGCTCTGGCAGCGGGCTGCATTAGAACTGGGGCCTCCTGGAAGAGGACGTCACAGAACTAGTGCTCGAGTCACTTCGACATCCTGTTCTCTGCACACCACAAGGCAACACCCTTGCACGTGCCCTGCAGAGGTGACTGATCACATGCCTCTCACGGAAATATTCAATCCTCAGAGCTTCAGTATGCACGCAAAAATACTGAATCTAACCACGACAATTTTATTCCGTGCAGTCATTGACATGTTAATTGAAAAAGTTTTCATGGAACATTTTCTATCCACTGCTGGATGAAAGCCTCCCCCCCAATGGGATTGTTTGACCATACTTCACCAGTATGGTCAGTGCAGTTCAGATATCACTTGCCACTGATGTTAGCCGTGGCCAGGAATCAAATTCAGGCCGCAGTCATTCAAATGCATCAGACTTTGTATTTATACTGGAGGAAACTGATGAGCTTTGAAGCGCTTCAACACAGATGTCCAGGAGGGGCGGGTCAGAATGCGACATTAACAATGCAGAAAGACGATAGGAGTGCAAAGCACAGGAAAGGCAAGTAAAAATCACGCAAAAAATACAAAAGTAAACTATTTTTTTTATTTTACCAGGAAAAACCCACTGAGCTATTAGCTTATTTTTCAGACACGACCTGGCCACAAACGGTAGCTCAAACAAGTGGCTTATCACGTGAAAAAATGTAGAGCAGCCAAACAATAAACAAAAATCTCCAAAGCTTGTTTCATTTGCTGCCCGGGTTAAACCCATCACGTGGTTACACTTGAGAATACAGCTTAAATCACGGGGCTAGCTAAACTAAGAAGCTGAAACCAGGACCTCAGAGGCTGTGGCTTAGGTGCCGACAAGGACAATGCAGTGTCAAAGCGTCACCACAAACACGTCACAACCCACCCACTCGCCAACTCGCTCGCTCGCTTCCCTGTTTGCGTTTGAAAACTACGCCCCCGGCGTCATCGCCACGACTGCCTCTCTGACACTCACACAAGTGGCTCCGAGAATTCCGCCGCCTACCTTGCGCGTTACACATATCCCCTTCAAGCTGTCCACAGCAAAGTCACGCCCCTCCCCCCCCGCTCGTGGCGTGAAAGAACCAGGGGGTGGGGGGGGGCGACTTCCTCCAGGAGGCATTTCGGACCCAGCCCGCGTCAGCAGGTAAAAAGTGTGCCAAGTAAATTGAGAAAAACTATCTTCTTGGTTCTTTCGGTAAAGTCAATAATAGTCACCTGAGGACGGGCTGCTTGCGTTGTGGCCGAAACGTCGTGAGAATTATTTAATGTTTGATTTTTATTATTTCATTATTTCCATTCCATTCTACGTGACTTTACCGAAAGAACCAAGAAGACGAATCCCTGCAGTCACGAAAGCTTTAAATTGAGAAAAACTAATTTCACGAAGGCAAATGTATTCTCAACGATTAAAATCGAGGAAAGCACGGTGATAGAGAAACGCAAGATCTTTGAGACGAGAGATAAAAAACTAAACTATTCCTGCAGTAGAATCTATAAAAAAAAAGACACTTCTCGGGTGGCCGAAATGGCCCCGCGCTCTGGCCCCAGTGCAGAAGCGAGTCCTGGGCACTGGGGTCCTATCGGGGGAGAGAGGCGGCAGGGGCGGCACCCGAGTGCCCGTCTCAAATCCCTCTCTCCGTCACTCGTGACATCTGCCAATTGCTCGTGTCGTGAATGAGAAAAGTCCCGCGGGGGCGAGACGGTGAAGAAATAAAAAAAAAATCCCCCACCCACCCCACTAATAATAAGACACGAGAGTTAGGGCGTGAATAAAAGTCCGCCTCTTCATCGGAACTGGGGTTCCGGCACTCGTGACGAACGGCCAAGTGCCCACACACTTTCATGGTGACGACGCGGGAAAGACGCTCCGTACCTGCAGTACTCGGCGAAGGTTAGGACGTAGCACTTCTCCTCGATGCACGCCACGCTGTTCACGTCCTGATGCCTCGACGCAAAGATCTCGCTTTGCTGAAACGCAGACGCACAGGAGCACGCGCGAGTCAGTGTGCACAGTGGGCAAGGCGATGGTGGCGACGACGGCGACGATGGATATTGCGGGATTGATTGGAGGTCAGGCTGATGATCATGATGTAGCTCTTAAATGGCGATGAGAGAGATTATTATTATGGTAAGACAGATTCTGACGGCAGTAACTGAAGCAAAATAAATGATGATGATGAGAGAGTATGAGAATAGTGGGCAAACAGTGACGAAGCTCTTGACGATGATGGTACTCGTGAGAATGAGTTTCCGATGAAGATTTAAGTCTTTCTGATGATGATAATATGATTAATGACATTGACAAAACAACATGTATCGACTTGTAGAAAGGACATGTGTGGGGAGAGGGTGAGTTTAAGCATAGGAGCTCATGGGTGGGGTAGTCCAATAGGGTAGGGAAGGGTGGGGGGGAGAGACAGGAAGAGAGTAACTGTCGGAAATAAATAATGCATCGTTTCCATGACCAGTTCTAGGCAGACCAGACTGAGTCATGCGAAGTCCGACCTGAAATGTTAGCATAATAAGAGTGCTACCAGGAAGGGCTGAGGACAAGGATGATGATGTTGATGGTGGTGTTTTTTCGTCTCTTTAAACAATGTATAACAATTTATAAAACACTGGGTCAAATTACAAAAATAACAAATTCCATTTATAACACTTTCAAAACTCTCACGTGTACACATTTCCCCACGACCACCGCCACCACCGACCCAGACCTCGCCTATAGATTCATACCCAGTGAAGGTGCACATTCTCTGGGTTAGACACGAGGCCGCAGGGAGTGTGGAGGAGGGGTGGAAGGCAACGTGAAGATGAAGGTTGCCACCTGTCCTGGATTTTACAGGATTGTCCTCTTAATGAGGTAGCTGTGCCGGGAAATCTGGAAGTCTCCCGGAAACATTACAAGTCCCGGCTTTTTAGTCGGTTGCAGAAAAACACACCAGTCGCTACAATGATATTCTACACGTAGCTCTCCCCTCTTCTGGAATGGCAGGATATTTTCGTCACCTATGAAAATGTCGCATTTTCGTTTCGTTCCTTTCGAGGTGGCAACCCCAGTGGGGGACAAGAGAGGCCAAGGTGGATGGAATTGGCGGGGGATGAGCGCGGAGAAGCGAGGCGCGGATTCCACTCCGGTACAGCTGCAACTACCTCACAAATGGCCATGAACACACGACCGGCTTCGTATAGAAGGGGGCGGCGACACGCTTGCATCCTGCTGCGCTGTAAATTAAACTTGCGCGGAATTTTCAGCTCGTGTGCAGGCACCGGACCGATTACTACATTTATTATTATTATCCCAGGATCGCGGATAGGTGGCAACGGCTTGGGACGAGGGCGGCGGGGGAGGTGGGTAGGCGGTCGTCATCCAGCAGTGGATCGAACACGGCCGTACGACGAGACGACCGTGCGCGTGTGGTGGCAAGGTGGGCGCGCTCACCTGGCAGTGCTTGTACGCAGGCCTTCCCCCTTGAGTGTGCTCTGGCCGGTAGTACCAGAAGAGGCTCATGGTCAGCTCACCTGTGAATCAACACAGCAGGAGGCTTGTCAACACACCGTTCCAAGTGCTGTTTTTGTTGCACTCTCGGTGAAAACCCAAGAGACGGGGGGGCATTCGTCTCATTCTGCGCGAGGGAACGCAGGTTTTGTGAAAGTCGCCTGTTACTCGCAGGAAAGAGAGGCACGCGAACAGCTGCGTGGCCTGGTTAGTTGAGACAGCTTATATACACACATACACATAAACAGTGTACATTATATATATGACGCTTACATGTGCTATAGATCCACTGCAAGTGGGTAGATACAGAGGGGGGGGGGAAACAGATGGGACGATTAATTGATTAAGTGGGTTAATCGGCAAAATATTGATACAGAGTGCTTTTATTGTCGATTTCTTGGACACGCTTATAAATAGGCGGGACGGTTTTTGGCGAGTTATCTGATTAGTCGAGCTATCGGACCGATCATCAGCAGAGGAATCCATAAATCGCAGAGACCAATGCAGCTGTTCTAGTCCGACCAGTGGTAATCGTTCCCCATGGATAAAGAGATGCCCCAAACGCCGTGGGTGCCACGGTGGCTAGGAGATGTTAACTACCTCGCCTAGTATACATGAGGTCGTGGGTTGATCCCGACCCCGGAGTTCGCATGTTCTCCCCGCGGCCGTGTGGATTTTTCTCCGGGTCCTCCGGTTTATCCCTCCACATTTAGAACCAACATCATGCGTTCGGAGTATGTGACTCATACATTTCCACACGATGATAAGCCCACTTCGTTGATCAATCATTTGGAGCGCTTCTGAAAACAAGCTAGATTTTACAGCTTGCCAAGCTATAAATGGTAAATAAAAAAAGATTTGCAGTAAATAGTAATTTGGTGTCTGCAGCAGCGACGACGCCTCGTGACGACCACACCTGGTTCGTCCAGATGCAGCACGAGCTCATCGTGAGGTGGTGGTTTGTCATCGCCGACACGCACTTCCGATTTCAAAACACTAACATTGAAAAGAAATAGATTTTATTTAAATGTACGTAGAAATTCGCAATCCGATTTGCCAGTGTCATCCTGCTGCAGATCTGCCCGCAATGGGTTTTTTTTAAATGGAAATGTCGGTATTTGCAGCACTTTTCTAAAATGCTGACATTCAAACACACCCCCCATCTACACACACACAATCATGCACAACATATAAATATGATCAACATCTATTGTGCGTTCACCATTAGGTGTGGCTAACTGCGGATCTGGCTGTCCTTGCGGCCTTCGCATGAAGCTACAATAGGTGCACAAAGCATGCATTGACAGCCGAGTTGACCTAGTTGAGACCCAGGGCCAGGTTTATACACATATCACCACCAGCCTTGTGCATTGGGCTAGGGATGTGACCAAGACCGTTCAGGCTGACAAGACTTGCTGTGGCAAGTTCCCATCGAGCGAGCACCTCTTTGAGGACCGGCATGGCACACGAGGGGGATGGTGTGACTAGCTCCACACACAGACACACATAACGTCGGGTACGAAAAAATTAAGGCCGAGTCAATAGTATAATTCATGCCGAGTCAACCTTGGGGAATCTGGACAGATTAAAAAACGTGCAAAAAGTCCAGGGGTTGAACTCCGGTCACGGAAACCGTAGCGCGGCGTTCCAACCGGCCGCGTCACCGTATACATTTCACACGCACACACCCACATAAACACGCGAGCAACAAGGCAACAACGTTTATCCGAGCAGCAGCAGCGGCGGCGGCATTCCAATGAGGAAAAAAACAAGAAAGAAACCGAGCCAGGACTTGGACGACTGCCGCAAAGCCCACACCGCTGGGCCCTCGACGGCGCTTCCCACAAAACTCGCACGCGCGCGAAACCAAACAAGGCGACAAAACGACACCGTGCATCAGCTGCGCGGTTAGACCCTCCCCCGCCCCCCCCACGCGCATCATCATGTACGCGGGGCGAGCAGCGCGCACTGCTCTCACGGACAGGAAGGGAGAGTCTCTCAGAGCCGCTGCGCTGTAACACCGTTCATCATCCCCACTTTACTTGCTTCGCGGAGAGCTGACGGGGAAATGGTCGGGGATGGGGACGGGGGGCGGGGTGGTGGTGTGGGCCCTGCAAGCTCGTGAAAACCATGACCCTCGGTAAATAATACCTTTTATATGACGAGGGCAGGACTTGCCGATTCAGTTGGAAGAACATCGCCGTAACCTCTCGCGCAAATAACGGGGCAATTAACTTGACCCCTTGCGGGCAGTGGTGGGGGGGGGGGGGGGGAAATCACTGCAGGCTACTCTCAAGTTAAAACATTTAATCAGCTAGCGATGAGGAAACACACGCAATTAAATCACTATTAAATGGCGCGCGTGCGTGTCCGTGTGCGCAACGCGGACCGCTGAACTGCGCTATGATCCCAGGTCGACCTCCGTGACCCCAGGGTTAACTTTCTTGTGCCACGCGCGAGTGGTACGTGAGCCTGGCTTGTGGCTCCCCTAGTTGAACTCGGCCTACAATATGCGCCTTGTGTGGCAGCGGGGTTCATGGGCAGTGACGCGTTTGTGCATCGGTTCCGTGCGCATGTATGTCCGTGGATGTTTGCAGGCACGTAGTCGTGAAATGCGATTCTATAAAACGGGAGTGGTAGTGTAGTGGTTAACACGTTGCGATACGAACCCGGCGACCCGAGTTATATTCCCGATTATTTTCAACCAGTCCTGGGCCTCCCAGAGTTTGAATCAGCCTCAAATGAGTACCTGGTGCAGTGTGTAAACATTGCTACGAGGGAGACAAAGGCGGCTAGGTGTGGTTGCTGGCCACCCACCTCCTCCCCCGTGTGCAGTTCCAGCCTTTATTAGGTGCTCGCTAACAGCACTTGCCCCAACAGTCTGTTAAGGCTATACGGAGAATCTTTGTCTTTGTATATTCAAATGCATACGTGTATTGGTGTAAGAGTAGGCATGCAAGCATGTGCGCGCGTGTGCTAATGTGCGTACGAAGTGACATCACGTTAAATTATTTTACCCGAAACTCCACAGCTCCGTACGGCTCGTTTACAAGCAGCCACAAGTTTGCTCTGCCGAACGCCTTCGCCAGAGGCTACATCGATTCATTAAGCAGGACCCATTTATAGGCACCGCTGCGATTTACTTACTCGTCGGCGGCTCAAACGAGCGCGGCCGTACCGCCGAATTGTTTCTGACTTTTACAAGACGCCGTGTTTGTTTTGGGGGGGGGGGGGGGGGGGGTTGGGTGGGGGAGAGGGGTTGGCGCACAACGCTCGTGGTTACGTGGTTACGCCGCCCGCAAAAAAACCCGCTGCGGCCGCGCGCCGACGGCTGACCAAAATCCGTCGGCGAAATGTAAAGCCCCTGCGCGAGCGAATAGGAAGACGAGTCTTCACGTCACGCTCACTCGAGAGAACCCAGAAGGACCGGGCTCGCCGGGAAGGAGAACTAAATATTATGCCGTTGTCCCGTTCAATCGCAAATTAAAATGGCAACAAAATATAAACTCAACGCTAAACAGAACCCAAAGGCGGGATAAATCAACGAGGAGGAAGATACATCGGGGCCCGGTTTGCTTCGTTTACCCGGCGACTCGTGGGACGGGACTTTTAGTATTGTGGCCCACCAATTAAGCCCACTGGTCGCACGACCCCCCTCCCCCCTCTCCCCCGAGGTTACTCAGGCCACAAGACACAGAGAGAGATCACATGTCCACGCCTCTCGCCACCGCGGTGTTCGGAATGCGTTTTATTTCACGTCGCGTGTGCGCGTGGTCTCCGTCACGTGCACGCACGCGTTCTGAGTTTCCCCTGCACGGTGCGTATGCCGCGACCTGCAAGGCACATCTCGTAGCCCGCGGCGAATTTAGAAATCGGCAGGACAGTTCTAAAAAAGAAAAAATTCTCGTTTAAACTACGTTTGCGTTTTGTTTTTTGGCCCTCCGTACTATTAATACAGGCCACAGTGGGCACTAACGTTGTGTTTACACGAAGGTTTCACTGGTCACGTAAATTATGCGTTGCCTTCACCCCACCCCAATCCCATCCTAACCCAACAAACACCCCCATCCATTCTACCGACTGCTAGCTCAATAAACCCTCACGATGGCTCTTCCCAGGCCCAGGCCACGAGCCCTCCCCCCCCCCCCCCCTACGCAAGCGGCCGCAAAAAATCAACCGTCCAAAGCAAACGACAATTAAAGAGAGAAAAAAAATTGACGACACGGAGCATTCCGCCCTCCGACCGAGCTTTTACAACTACGAGCTCGCGAGCTTCACATGTGGCAGCGATTTCCAACGTTATTTTGAAGAAAATAAATGCGGGAGAGGGGAAGCGATGAAGGCAGGGGTGGGGCAGGGGGGTTATCCAGAAAAGAGTTCTTCTGTTATTTAAAATAAAGACGTAAAAAGAGAACCGATGTCTTCGCTATCGCCAATGACAACCCAATCGTGCAGAGCTAAGATGCAGAAAAGACGCGTCCCTCCGAGGTCATCAGACCATTGCACACCGTTGCAAATGAGATGTTCCACCTCGATCAATTAACCGGGTGAAGTATTCTAATTAATGAATAACACATTTTTTTATTTTACTACTTCCAAAGTCACTGCAAGAGGCCTCGCCCACACAACACGGTGACGAGATGTCAACTACCTCGCCCGGTATACAGGAGGTCGTGGGTTTGATCCCAATCCCGATGCTTGGATATTTGGATTTTGCATTTTCTCCCCGTGGTCGCGTGAATTTTTCCACCGGGTCCTCCGGTTCTTCCGTCCACATTTAGTATCAACATTAAGCGCTTCGAGTATTTGGCTGTCGCTACAAATATCCACACGATCATCATCCACTTCGTTGACCTATCACGTGGCCAGGTCTATTCTGAAAAAGAGCTGCATAAGCTCAAGTGGGCCCTTACCTGGTGAAAATCTAAATAGTTAAAATAGTAAATATGTGTTCCAGGTTCAACTCGGGTTACGAGAGCTTTCCCATCAACGCTGGGCTTGAGCGATCCGACGCGCTGATGAAAACGTTTTGATGTCACGGGGAATTATTTTTTTTCTCTTCCCCGGATCTCGCTCCAAAGTCGGATTACGCCGGCCACGTTTTGTGAGAGGTTGCAATTTCCATTTCCCACCACCCCCGCGCGCCACGGGATCGAATTGTCAATTAACTATTTAGCACTGTGAGAGATGAGCACGCGTTATCACGGGCGGCGGCAGTCGCGAGCAACACCTAGGGGTAGCGTCTCCCCCGTAGCCGCCACCAATACCAATAGCCGCCATTCGCCACCAAGTGACATCACCACGGCGACTGTGCCAGGCCAGGTGCAATTTGAGGCCACGTGAAGTGTCGAAGGCTCGCTGACAGGGAGGTCTCTGGACAGACCTTTGGTGCCGTGGGTCGGTCGACTGAGATGACCAGTAGATGCACCTAGCTGTACCCACCACTCTGCCAACTTGTTGCGTTTTAGCCGCCCGATGCGGCGCTCGTTGTTGTGAGCGTCGCTCCTCTGCTCTCCGTTGTTGCTGGAGGGCGATTGCATCCAACTGCCCAGCAGCAGCAGCGTCCTTCACGAGCCTCCTCCCATAGCCACCACCCCCGCTACCATCATCAGCAGCATTTGTAAATATTACCAGCTACACTGCTGAATGTCAATTGGATAGATCACGGCCGATGACTGTGATAATCATTTACTGTTCCTTAATACAAATAAGAGTAAAGCAGGTAAGGACAGCCAGCCACTTTGTAACATTATTTATTTAGCAAGGTTTCCAAGGGGCGTAATCGTGCCACCGAGTAGCTTTCGTTAAAATCGGCATTATCACCCCGAGCAGATAAATAGCTTCTTGTCCTTCAAGAAACAAACCGCGCCAATAATTGAGAGATTAATGAGCAAGATTAGTAATCGTTTCAAGCAGATCGAATCTATAATCGCATTACAGGACTCGTTCTTTCCTTAGCTACCGTATTTGCTCTGCAAGCATGTACATGCGCGCGTGCGTGCGTGCGTGCGCATGCATACGTGTGCGTGTGCGTGCGACGTACCGGACCGCGGATCCTCCCAGAGGGCGGAGATTTTGGCGACGAAGGGCAGCGATCGACGGCGAGCTCCGGAGCGCAGGAGCACGCAGTCGCGCACGCGCACCACGAGACCCGCGCAGCGCACCGCTGAGAAGCAGCGGCGCACCGCCAACTCCGCCTCGCCCTGAGCACACACGCACAGAGACAGATGCCACCGTTTAGCCTCGCACTCAGTCGGGGCAAGCGCTGTTAGCGAGCAGCACCTGTGAAGGCGGGCGCGGCACGCGAGGACGGCGCGGTGGCAAACACCAGGCCCCGCCGCCTTTGTCTCCCCAGTGGCAATGTTTACTACACACCAAGTAATCGTCACCGGCGATGGCTGCGAGCGGGAATCGAACACGGGTCGCCAGGTTCGTAGCGCAGCATAGCGCTAACGCTACACTACCGCCCCCCCCCCAACACACACACACAGCCACAAAGACCCCCCATATAGCCTTCACAGACTGTAGGGGAAAGTGCTGTTAGCGAGCACCTATGAAGGCGGGCGCGGCATGCGAGGCGGCGGGTGGCAAACACCACGCCCGGCCGCCTTCGTCTCCCCAGTGGCGATGTTTACACACGGCACCAGTTACTCATTTGAGGCCGAGTCGACATAGGGGAGGGGCCTAGGACCGGTTCATATAAAAATCGGGTCGCCAGGTTCGTGGCGCAGCGTGGTAACCGCTCGCCCTGAACGTACATACGCACAAACACACCAACCTCCCACGACATTCGGTCGCGTGAACCATCAGGCAGTCCAACGGAGCGAGCGCCGCACGGCAATAGGCTACCGAATAGTCGAACGCGTTTAAGCGTGGGGGGCTGAGTGTGAACGGGGAGGTGGGGGGGGGGCACGGTAACCATTGTAAAGACGATCGAATATGAGCAAAACTTTGGTGTCAAGTTGGGCTGCTACGTGGAAACGTATCCTTGGGAAAATCGTCTACGTTGATGAAAGGATCGGTCTGCACCTTGCAGACACAAACCAGCGCAAAGAAAAGCAGGACACTTGCAAATCTCCAAATATGCATCGTCCCGACACCAAGCTACCCATCGGCTTCCATACTGCGGATTAAAAACACTTCCGAAGACAAACGCACGTTGGAAAAAAAGTGTTTCGGCATTGCGTGCGTACGGATGATTTCTCTTCTTCTTTGTTTTAAATATCCATTGCAGAATACAACCCCCACCGTCAGCAAAAAATAAAACCCCCGCCAAGGTCACGATAATCAGGTGTGGGAGGGGACCAGAGCGAGAGCCAGAGCCGATTTACGGCCAGCGGTGTTATGGGTACGCGGACGCTCGCGCTACGTGGACGTCGGCGACCGTTATTTGGCTCATGCCGCTTCCAAGTCAACTCGGACCTAAAGCGAGTAACCGGTGACGTAGCGTGGGCGACAATCGGCATTGCTGGATGAAGAAGGGGATGTGGATACAATGCTCGCAACTCCGCAGAGACACACCGAGGGGACAGGACTAGCGGGTGGTGCAGGGTGGCACTAATTTACGGCTCGCCGTGACCCCCCCCACAGTGTCCCCCCCACGGTGTCCCCCCTGCTGTGTTCCCTCCCCCCCCTCACTGCCCCCCCCCGCTGTGTCCCCACGGTAAACCCTCGACGGCTGGTGCCGTAAAAGGGACTGGGATTAAAAATAGCGGCGATAAAGTCGAGGTGAGCGTCACAGGCAGGTGACTCCCAGCGGTCACCCCGCTCTCTCGCGGGCGAGACAGCGGGTGAGCGGGCGAGACAGTGAGCTGGCGAGACAGCGAGTGAGCGGGCGAGCGAGTGAGCGGGCGGGCCCCGGTTACTCAACCCAAGTGACACAGCGGCAATTGACACGGCGCAATGTCACGAGGACGATGGCGACAGTGACCGGTGTCGTCGGGTTACACCGAGATATCGCCGACGATGTCATCGGGCGATTTCGCTTTTGCACGGCGGGCGGAAGCGAACGGCCCCGCCAATCCCACGCCGGCGTGGGCTGTGAAGGTGGGATGGGTGGCGCTGCGGTTTGGAGGACCGTCCATCGGGAGATTGCGACGAGCTCGAAAGTCGGTTGTGCTATGGGGAAGGCTGGCCCCTGCCACAGTAAGGTCGAGCTTACCACCGGCTGGTTCAGGGGTTGCGGAGGATGATAAGCACGGTGACACTTTTGGTCTCCCTGCTCGCTCGCGATTGCCAAACGGGACTTTTTGGGGCTGCAAACCGATTCGACTAAGCGCAAATTCTTCGTCCGTGCGGTACTAACGATGAGCGGATACGTTTTGTCGTTTGTAGATGGGGGGGGGGGGAAATCTAAATATTATCCGAGTTCTTGTTTACTCTCCCTCTGCAAACCTGCAGATGGCTGGCAACCTTGGATAGAGAAACCTTGGCAAGGCCCCCCCCCACTCCCCCGAGTCGCAGCAATGGCACCGGCAGATCGGTGCAACTTGCGAGGGGAGGAATCCACTCAAGGTCAGGGTGCGGGCGTTTGGGAAGAAACTAAACCATTGTCTATTTTTAAACCAAAAAAACACTTTTAAATCAAGGTAAGTTAAACAAAGAGTGCGGGCGGTGGCACGGCGGTTGGGGCACTGCGCTAGGAACCCCACAGCTTGAGCTCAATTCCTGGCATCGGTGCCGAGTAACTGGTCTTGGGGCCCCCCCCTCCTGCCGCCACCCTTCACCAACCTACACTGAACCAGCGTGGCGAAGAATGGACAAACTCCCGTAAACCGGCACGACGCGAGAAAGACATCAATTAGCAGGGCTGCGAAGCATTAGCCGAACGACGTCAAGGTTTTATTGTTCGTCAGTCAAACCGTCGAGGGCAGATTCTGTTCGTGTTAATAGTGAATTTAACCGGAATTGTTGCCACCGTTGTGCACAAGCGCAGAGTGTGCGCGCACTTCCCACGTGCACGCATTACGGTAGCGATCGAGCGCACGTGCGTGCGTGAACGCGCGCACGTGTGAACGCGCGCATGTACCGCGGAGGTGTTCGGCGGTTGTGCCACACAGCTCTCGTACCCCGTAATCCGCCCCCCCCCCAACCGCACGTTGTTCGGCATGACGTCCGACGTTTCGCTCCAGGTGCCAGGAGCATCGAGTTACGGAAGAAGCGCAGTGGCGCGTGTGCCCGCACGCTCTACCCCGGAGATCGCTCGCTCACACAGGTGTCGGCGTTTAGTGCTGGCACAAAGTAGGCACGCATCGTTGCTCATTTGAAAATTGTCGCTTTGCCAAGGTAAAAAAATATATTATAAAAAAAACAGAATTTTCTTTCAGTTTTTTTTTTAAACGGCGGGGGCAATGAACACCAAGCATCCGCTCGCGCGAAAAATAAACCAGGAAATCACGGCCGGTGTTGTCTTTGGAGAATAAAACAACAGCCACGATGCCATTCCCTCTCGTTTGTTTGTTTTAAATCACCTGTCGTGACAGACTTTAACTGTAATTTCAATCCGCTCCAGGAGAGCCCCTCCAAGTGGAGGCCCTTTCCGCCAGCCGTGGCACGAGCAAGGAATTGCAGGGTTGCGCCTTTATCTTTTTACTCAGAGCCAACCATCGATGGGTGGATGATGTACCGGCACGTTCAACTTTTAGAAACATGCCATTAAAGTGTTTTGCTGCTATAAATGTCTAAATGATAAGCCACTTTGCACAGCTATCATTTGTAACCAGGTCGCTTCTGAAAAATAAGTGAATACCTCAGCGGGCTTTGCCTGGTAGGATGGGAATGGTTTAGTTTTATTTGTATGTGCGATTTGTTTACCTTTCTTGTACTCTGCACTACTCGTGTTTTTACAAGCTTTCTTTTAACTCACTCTGTCTGTTGTTGTCGTTTTATCTTCAAATCTTGTAAATCAATTTTAACTCACTTCCCAATATGGTATCGACTGCAAACTTGGTATACTTGTGTCAAACTGATGGCAATACTATATTCTATCATAAAAAATACAAATACAAATTTTCAACATTCTTTTTTATGATGTTTTATTATGTTGTTTCGGCTTGGGTCTAATTGTCCACGGTCAACTGACGTTGGCTGTAATTGGCCACGGTCCCTTACGTTATGGCAAGTTTCGGGGCCACTTCCTGGAGTCGTGGAGTTCTGTCATTCCTAGTACATTTCATAAAAGCGTGTTTAAAAAAAAGTTTTTTTTAAATATTACTTACTGATTGTATTGCTTGTTGCTGCAACGTTCTTACACGCCCCTACTGAACATCTGTGAAAGAGCTTCATAGCTCCTCGGAATTTCTCCAGTATAAATAAATATTCGGATTCTGAACTTGGCACCAACGTTGTTACACAGCATGGGTAAACGTGTCTTCACTTTGTAGGAGGTTTTCAGTTTCCCCCACTGGGTGATTCTATTTACTATTTGGCCATGCCTGGCCGCGGGATCTCTCGCACCTCTACGGGGCCCCGTGACTAAACGCGCTGCGCTAAGAAAACGTCCCACGAAAGCCGCATCTAATAACAACGCCGGCTTGCGTGCCCAACAATGTAAAAAGGCAGTTGTGAAGCAACGGGGATTAGATTCTTCGAAGAGCTTTGTGGCTCATCAGATTCCCCTAGTATAAATTCCGAGCAGCAATTTGTTATCGGGTGACGTATTCCAACCACGATCAAACCACTGCTGGATGAAACCTCCACCCACACCGCCTGCAAGCTTTCTATGTTAACGAACGGAATTCTTAACCGCTCGCTCGCCCCACTGCTAGTGAAGAGCCCTCCGGCTGAAAGAGATCCCCTGGAGGGTATGTATTTAGAGGCCCTCTCAGCCGCCTGGCAAGGAGAAACCCCCACACTTTACCCCGCCACTCGCGAACCCAGCCTAACGGACTCAATGTGACCGTTACCCATTTTATACCGTGAGGTGAACAAGAGGCTTGGCGATGGGGTGGGGGAGGATTTAAGAAAATTGCTCCGTTTGTTTCACAACTGCCTCGCCCGGAGATCTTGATCGAAGCGGCCAAACGATCGCACCGCAGCAGCGGCAGCAGCAGATGCAGCAGCAGACGCAGGCAATCCGCAGACGCTACGTTTAAGCAAGCGCACGGCCGAGTGCCAATCGATAATTTATTACCGAGATTTCTGTCGACATAAGCACGCAAGACTGTATGATTGTGAAACAGATGACCGTGAAAAAATATGCGCTTGCGAAATTTGGATGACTCAATAACGGTACAAACGGCCATCGCCTGCAGGGCCAATAACATCTCCTAAACGTACACGCATGGACACACAGAGACAAAGGCTCCTCTGTATAGTCTACAGAGACTGTTGTGGGGCCAACTGCTGTTAGCGAGCACCTATTAAGGCTGGCACGGTACACGAGGGGTTGGTGCGGTTATCAGCACCATGCCTAGACGAACCGTCTCCCCGGTGCTGCTGTTTACACTACGTACCTTATTTAAGGCCGAGTTGATCTAAGGGAGAACCAGGATTGGCTTAGACATTTGCCACCGATGTTGGCTGCGAGTGAAAATCGAGCTTGGGTCGCCGTGTTCGTAGCGAGTGCGATAAATCCACGACGCTGGCACTCCGCGCGACGCACAGATGCGCGCACCGACACACGGGCACAAAGGCCTGCTTAGCCTGGATGAAGCAGCAATGCGAGCGTTGTTAGCGAGCACCTATTCGATGCTGCCAGGACACACAAGTGGAAGGTGGGGGGGGGGGCAAACATCACTCGCGGCCAGCCGGCCTTGGCACGCCCAGCGCCAACGGCGGTCGATGCACCGATACATTTCATGAGCAACACGCGCGCTCGCATGCACCACGGACACAAGGTCCGTGTGAATCCCTGCTCACACGGAGCGACGGCATAGACGGCGTTTATCTCCGTTAGTGGGCCCGGAGCCAGTGGCGCACATTTCACATTCCCTTTTGTCGAACGATAGTCAGCGAGTCTCAAGGACCAATCAGAAGCGGGGGTCGCACAACAACCTGCCTTGCCTCACTCCCTGCAGCAACACCGCCAACACCACTACCACCAACACCACCAACACACCGCCAACACCACCAACACCAGCCCAGAATGGTGCGCCAAGTGTCACTGCTGTTCAGAGTGCCGTTGGGTCTGCCCGAAGGCTCGTCGGTGACCCGTTTAGCTGGGCTGTGAATATAATGGGTTGTGTATGTAATGGGTTGTCGCGTGACCAATCGCTTTGTCACGCGCCAAGTGCTTTGAGCGCTCTGGCGTGCCAACCATTGCCACAAGTGAACCGAATTCCAGAGTCCATCACTATCGCACTCGACAATACATTACTGCCAGTGATTATGTAAAAACCGACAAATCGACACGACAACCCCAACTGAGACGACCCTGTGATTTACCAACATAGGCATCGTCGCACCACACTTCACCAACGCTTCCTCTACCCTCCCCGCCAGACTCCTGGTGGACACACACACGCACGCGCAGCCACCAGAATCCTCACCTATCTGCCCTTAAATAAATCGCGGCGGCGGCGATACGAGCAAACCAACGGCAACGCGATCACGGGGGAGTCTCTGGTCTCCGGCCGCTGCCCCCATCCCCGCCGAACTCACCACCACGTAGACGGCCTTCTCGAACGCCTTGCCCACGGGGAACCACTTGCTGCCGCTGCCGGTGGCACGCCGCTGCCCGACCCGGAGCCTGCGGCCCACGTTCCCCTCCGCCGCCGGCGACGTGAGCTGCGGCGTGCGCGGCGTCCTCGGCGTCGAGCCGTCGTCGGCGACGCCCGCGCCGCCGCAAGCCAGCGCCCACTTCTTGATGACGATCTTGGGCAGTGGCGGCCGCTCGTTGCGGCGCGCCGTCCCGTCGCCGGACGACGGCGGGGAGGGCCGCTCCTCCAGCCTCAGGGGCCGCTCGCCGGGAGGCCCGCAGGCCGCTCCCAAGCTCAGCGAGCGGCAGAAGCGTCCGGTCGCGCCGCGCCTCTCCGCGCGGCCGTCCGGCACGCAGGGGGGCGCGGGGTCGGCCGGGACGGAGCTCGGCTCGCAGGACGAGTCTCGACGGCGGCTCTGGCCGTCATCTTTGTGGTGGTTCCCGTGGCTGTGCTTGTGCTTGTGCCCGTGGCTGTCGCTGGGACTGTGGCGGTCGCTGTGGTGGTGGCGGCGGTTGTTGTCGTTGACGTCGCAGTGATGGTCCTGCTGGTGGTGGTTGCTCGGTGGCGGAGGCGGCGGCGGAGGTTGGAGGCACGGTGTCGTCGTCGAGTCTCGGTGGAGCGTGTCGGGCGGGAGCTGCGGGGACGATGACGACGATGAAGTGGAGGTGGAGGGGATCCGGTCGAGGTCGAGCTTTGGAATTTTCGGCGGGGGAGGCTGCTCATCCCATCGAGATCCATAGCAGCCGGAACCTTCAACGACAGCAGCGTAAAGATAAACATTCACGGCTCATAAAGGGCAGCCCGCTTAAAACGCTTCAGCGTCGACTCGAAGCGCCTTGCATCAACATCTGAACCACGCCGATGCCCTGCTGCCGTTTAGCCAAGGGGACCCACCAGCGGCAGCTGTCCCTGTGTGGGACAAGGTGTAAGGTAGCAGCCTGCATCCAAGCATCATTATCACTCAAGCCCTAAGCGGCAGTGCGCTATTGGTGGGTTGAGTACTGAAGACAACACCAGATCACCACAGTTGGTTAATGTAATCAAGTACAACATTACACATCATCACCATCGGCTATGATCCATCCACTGCTGGTTTATTCATTAAAAACATTTCTAAAAACACCGCAACCTGCTCTCACGCACCTCTTCAATTCATCACTTAGGTCCCCGCCGACGTTCAACAGCTGCCCTAGACACCCAACACACCCTCGCTACGCCCTGCTGCGTTTCCAATCTTGTCGTCTCTACGACAGACGTCTTAGTGAAGTCCAGGTTTTGCTTACACAATTGGTGCATGGCACCAATCTGCCACTCAAAGAGAATCGCTCTCCGCACTTGTTGTCAGCGACTTTTGTTTCGCTCCTCTTTATCGCGAACCCGCAAACTTTGTCACCCCTCCTCTCAATTCAAGTTGAGATTATTTTGATGCGATAAATTTCCACACGACGAGTCGCTTCTTAAAGCCGTCATTTGTGGCAGCCAGGTCGCTCCTGAAAAAGAAGCCAATAGCTCGGTGGGCCTGACCTAGTAAGATAAAAAAAATAGTTTAGTTTTATTTGTATAAATAAATTTGTATAAAAATAAACTATTTCTTTAGGTTTCCTATACTTTGCACTATCGTGTGTTTGTACTGTTTGTTGTTGTAACGTTCTGATCCGCCCCTACTGGAACATCTGTGAAACAAGAGCTTTGGAGAGCATCGGATTCCTCCTGCAGTCCAAATAAAGATTCTGATTCTGAAGTTATTCTATCATTTCCGGTGATTCATTTCCATTATTAGTGATCGTCATAATGACGATGTCATCAGAAAATCTCTGCGATTGATAAGCTAAATGATAAATAAGTTCGTGGTAAATTATTTTACATTGCAGGTCACAACTTAAGACAACAATCTGGTAGCTAAATAACGGTACGCACGCTGCAAATGTACACACACACACACACGCAAATTTTATAAATAACGTTAACACGCAAACAGCTGAGGCCACTGAAATGCATTAATTTTAATTGTCCCTTGTAATTTAATAAATGTCCTTGTTTACATTTCACGTGCCGCTTCTAGTAGGGCATAATTAGATGAAGCACCATTCATTTCCCTTCCTCCACCAACCTCCCCTCCCACACACCCACACAAAAAGGACAAAGATCCCCCTGTTTATGCCTATAGACTGCCAGCGGAGCAGAGGGCTGTACCAGAGCACCTATTTAGGTTAGACAAAGATAAAAGACAAAGATCGCCCCGCCTCCCACTCCCCGTATAGCTTGAACAGACTGTTGGGGCAAGCTCCGCTAGCGAGCACCTATGAAGGCCTATGAAGGCCGACACGGCACGAGAGGGGGGCGAGGGCATCCAGCGCCGTGCCTGGCCGCCTCCCGAGTGGCGATGTTTACACAATCGCACCGGGTACTCATTTGAGGCCGAGTCGACCTAGGGGAGGGACCGGTTCAGATAATCGTCACCGGCGTTTGGTCGTTAGCGGGAATCCAACTCGGGTCGCCAGGTTTAGAGGGCAGCGCGCGAACCGCTCCGCTAGCGCTCCCAGCAGAGACGTGTGTGCGGTGTGTGTCAACCGGCCACCTTGTTGTTTAAACGTCACAAGGGTACACTCATTCAAGGCCGAGTCAACCTAGGGGATAGGCTGCAAAAAAAAAAGGTCGCTGGCATCGTGACGCTACTCTTGAACCCCGTTGTGCCGCCTCTCACACAGATACATACAAAGATCCCCCATGTAGCCTTAAACAGGCTGCTGGGCCAAGTGCTGTTGGCGAGCACCTATTCAGCCGAAATGGGAGTGCAAGGGGGTGGGGTATGTCCAGAGCCACGCCCGGCCGCCTTTGTCTCCCCGGTAGTGATACCGACTCACCGCCCCGGCGACTCGTTTACAAGGCCGAGTCATCCTAGGGGAGACCCAGGACTGGTTCAAACATCAGTCACCGGCGTCGGCCGCGAATGGGAATCGAACCCTCGGTACCCAAGGTTCGCAGCGCGGGACCGCCAAACCCACCGCACTACCACTCCCCCCACGAGTGGCGGTCGGCTACGTACGGCGCGAAAGAAGTTCAGACATACGTACACTCGCGCGCGCGCACACACACACACACACGCCCCAGCAAAAAAACCCTTACACACCCCCCCCCACTCCTTCTCAGCCCACCCTTAATATGCTCAGGAATCAACAATCAGACCCGCTGCTGCTTGCACAACAGACTTAAAACTGGCCAAGCGCCAGCTGTCCGGCCAGCGTTCACACGAACGCGCCCTGCCGCAGAGAGAGAGGCAGTCGCGACCTCAAAATCGCACCCCCCCCCCCCCCCCCTTTAAAAACGCCACTCACAGCGCTGGTGATTATCCGGGATAACACCACAATTGTAGCCTCTGCATACACGCAAAGACAAAGATGGCCCCCCCTCCCCCCTCCACTGCCTCCCAACAAAGTATAAGCCTGCATAGACACCACAGAGGCAAGTATCCTGTTAAGCGAGCACCTATTAGAATTCTGGCACGGCACACAACGAGTTGGGGTGTGGACTGGTACCACAACCGAACGCCTTTGTCTTCCCGGGCGCCGATGTATGCGCGCACCGCTACGGTCGCCTCTCTCGTTAAAAGGCCGAGAGTGGGGCACCGGTTTGGATAGCGCTCGCCACCCCGACGTTCGCCTGTGACTTTTCAGAGCCCTTCGACAATCCACCACTGGAGGAAGGCCTCCGCACACAATGCCACGTTGTGTGTGGGACGCAGCCCGACCGTGCATGCGCCGCGCCGGTCAGCTGGTGAATGGGAGGACCCAGGGCTAAAGGTTCCGGCAAGTTTAGAAATTGGTCGCCACTGACGTTTTCCCCGGCGCAGCGCGCTGACAAAATACGTCACCGCTCCTCAACATGCATATTCTACTCGACAAGTCGACAAACACAACACACGTTTGTTTATACACAACAACACAATTACACTCTCACACAAATAAGTACGTACACAAAACGCGCACGCTACGAATAACATTTCAGGCAAATTACAATGAGCGATGGCGAGACGATTTGCTGACGCGGCAGATCCCACCCCGGAGGCAGCTGGCACCGTTCCACAGGACACTGCGTGCCGGCGGAGTCGCGTTACAGAGTCCCACACGCGCAGGAACGCGTCTCCTGCGCCGCCCGCCTGCCTGCACCCCCCCCACCGCACCACGAGTGCTCGGCGCGGCTACCGGCACCGCGGCCCCCACCGCTACCTCGATCCTGCCGCAGCCCCAACACACCGCCCTCGCCGCAACGCACCGTGAGCGCACCACCACTCCAAACGTCGACCGCACCGCCATCCTCGCCGTGACCGCAGTGCTACCCCGGCCCACATCGCTACCGCACTGTGGACCCCCCCACCACCACTAACCATGGTGGAGAGATGTTAACTACCTCGCCTGGTGTGCAGGAGGTATGTCTCTCTCTCGCCCCGTGGTGGCGCGGATTTTTCGCCGGGTCCTCTGGTTATTCCCTCCGCATTTAGAATAGTTGGCCGCTATGAATGTCCACGTGATGAGCCACTTCGTCGAGGTATCATTTGCGAGAGCCTGAAAAGAGCTATATCGCTCAGTGGGCCTTACCTGGGAAAATAAAATAAAAAGTTTAGCTTTAGTTTAGTTTTAACCGAGAGCACCGCTACCCCCCCGGCCACACAGGGCTGCTGCACCGCACCGATACGCCGCTCCAACGCAATCCTCAGATATGCACGATTGGCTATGTACGGTGCGAAAGAAGTTCAACACATCCCAACGCGACCCACCTAGGCCCAGCTAGGATTCCAGCACCGTAACAACCACACTATCCCAGCACCAGAATCTGAATCTTTATTGATACTCGGAGGAATCTGATGAGCCATGAAGCTCTTTTAGTTACAGATGTCCAGTAGGGGTGGGTTAGAAAGTTACAACAAACAATGCAAAACACGATAGGAGTGCAAAGTATAGGAAAAGTAAGCAAGTCACTATAAATAAATAAATTGCTTTCCCAGGTAAAGCCCTCCGAGCTATCATCTTATTTTTCAGAAGCGACCTGGCCACAAATGGTAGCGCATCGCAGTGGCTTATCGCGGTTCCCGGCCTGCACCGGGTGTGGCCCTCGCCAGGGTCGGTCGAGCCTAGCTGCCCACAAAAAACACATACGCCCCCTCCACCACCATGGCAGCCCCAACAGTCTGGAACGATATCCCTCTGCACATTCGCAGCATCACCTCAATCGCCTCCTTCAAGAGAGACTTAAAAACTCACCTCTACAACCATGCTTTCGAGCGACTCTGAGCTTGGCTCCGCACCTCTGAGTTGCGGCCACTACGTGTGCAAATTTGCGCGCGTTACAAATGTAACTATTATTAGTTATAACCCCTGCTCCCGCATTTGCTCTCCCCCCTTCCCCACCAATCATCATCTCAGTCGTCATCAGCCACGAGCAATCCACCGCTGGATGAAGGGCTTCCGCAAGCCACCGCCACCTCGCGTGACGCTGCGACGATCCGCCTAGCACACCTGCATCTACGCTGGACATGGCTCTCATGGTCACCTCATTCCTTCCAGGGAAAATGCGTCCCCCGCCCAAGGCCCATTCACTTTTCCTCGACAGTCAAAAACGACGGTCGCCTTTACCCTGCGCACACTCTCGCTCTCCAATCCACGTGTTCCTCTCGCCGTCTCTCAAATGTAATTCCAGGGTAATTATCCACACCGCAGAAGGTGGCAAAAGGAGGGGGATGGCTGCCAGGGAGG